TCTAGAAAAAAGAAAGGAAAAAGAAAAACGCAAGACAAGAAGGAGGGAGAATATATAAATTTATAATCATAGCAGATGTAATGGACCCCAAACAAAAGATAAATCCAGATTTTGTTTCTGTTTTTTAGTGGAAAAGCCAGCTATGCAACCCGTGTTTCCCTTCATGGATTCTGAAAACCGTGTTTCCCTTGATGGATGAAAAGTGTTGCATAATTTTTGCTGGGTTTTGTGCTACCAAGTGAAATTGCCACAAAACTCACTGCCCCACATAATCTGTCATATTGAAAAGGAAAAGCCATGTCTCACCCATGTGCAATTATTTACCACTTTGTTTCACATGCAAGAGTGAGTAAGGAAAAACGTGCTAATCATCGTGTCCTTTTTAGGTACTTGCCCTACTGGCTTAATTAATCACTGCTAACTCTTGATTACATGCTATTAGTGTCCCCTTCATATGTGTTCCTTGTTTTTTTACCAAAAATAAATAATCATCATCATCAGTAATTCTTGAATATGCGCAGTATAATTTTCTTAATAGAACGTGATTCTACGCGCAAGTTTCCCGTCTCAATTAACTTCATCGTATTAGAAAAATAAAAAAGTTAAATTCTCTGCTCTAGCTCCAAGTGATCACAACCAAAAGAGGGAAATGCGGTGCTAAACATCCAATTTTCTGTCGTGATTTAAAGCTAAAACAAGAATGGTGATCCTATTTAAGGATGCCTAACGATAGCATCTAACAAATCGTCGTATCAAGTAGTCGAATCATAATATCTTACCATAAAAATGGCTGCATGCGAGAAAGAAAGAAAAGAATGGTGATCCAGAAGAAAAACATCAAATTTCTCTACATGCTTCCGCGTCACCGTTGTGCAACTTGGTTGGAATTATACTCTTGGAATAGGCTGTTTAAAAACTAATAATCGAGTGAACCCTTCTTCTAATTCTAAACGTGAAAGGGCCTGGTGTCCTACAAATACTTAATTTTGGGGTAAGGAACCAAAGGGAGTAATGGGCTAAATGAGATATACATTGGCAGCCCATGTAAGATGGGATTGTTGTTGTTCATAATATTTCACAAACTTGTATCATTCATCATCACATCTTTGCTCTATTCGCATCCTAATTGTATGAATAATGGCAAGCTACTGCTATGAATCCTTGTCTTACACTCTATTGTATCGATTAATTGTTCCTTTATAAAAATAAGAAAATAACTTCCTAATTTCTTGCTGTAGACGAACATCCCAAGCTCATGAGTCCTCATAGAATGAGGCTATTGGTATGAATCAAATTTCTGATCTGTGATTTTTTTGTCAATAACCCTGGATTTAGATAAGCTATAATTTCGTTGTTTTAGCTTTTTTTTTAAAAAAAAAAAAAAAAAAAAAAAAAACAACCTTGATCAAACTGCAATTTTTACTAAATTTTTGTTAATACTTATCTAAAAATTGCAAGCCTAGAATTAAAATTTTCCATGTCTTTTTCAATCAAAACATGATATATCGTTTGCATTAATCATTCAAATCCTATGAATAATACTAAACATGTATTTGATATTCATCTTTTTGACAAAATTAATACACAAATATTAACATACCAAATCAAAAAACCAAGCCAATAGAATTATGTATTTTACTTAGACCTTCAATAAGTCCTTTTGTCAGTTGTATTTGTTAAATTTAATGTACAGAATACTAATAACACACATTAGTGGCAAAAAACCCTCAATTTTTTTTAGAAAAAAATAATTGCAATAAAAATTTCCTAAAACATATTTTTAGAAAAATGGATTATCCAATATTAAACCTACGACTAGGGTATCAAGGAATCTCTAAACCAAAAAAGGTAAATTCAAAACCCTTATATATTTATGATTTTTTTAAAAAATATATATATATATTAGTCCCGTAGATAAAAGTAACCAAACAAAATTTAAGATTGGTTCCTTTTTACTTTTATTTTTTTCATTGTTTTCCTTTCGAGTTTAGCTTGTCTCCATTTTAGGTTCGAATAGGGTATCAAGGAATCTCTAGTCAACTTTTCATCTTTTTTCAGAAGTTAAAACTTTATTTTTTATATATAGTTTCGAGAACCTTTTTATTTGTTTTGAAAAAAATTCTAGATTTTTTATTTTTTTGTCATTTATGGAGTTATGGACATTTTGAAGACATTTTTAATAGATCAGTTAGATATAACAAAAAGAAAGAAATCAAAATTTCGCTTTTTTTTTCAGTCTGGTCATTAATATCCAATGTAATAAAGAAAAGAATAAGGGAATGTTTGATAACTTATTTTAATAATTTAAAAATTAAATTGTAGTACTTAATATAAAAATCTAAATAATTTCATATTTAAAATTTAAATTCAGTCAAAATCAACTTAATTAATTAAGTTAAAGTTTTTAACTTATTATTTTTTAATTAGCACGCTCAATTAAAATATTTTTAAAACTTTTTAAATATAACTATATAACTCTTATATATTTTTTTATAACTTTAGTTATACAAACCGATTGAAAAACAATCTCTATTATTCTCATTGTCAAAATAGAGAAACCATTCTCTATTATCGATGCTTTTATCCCATCATCATCAATAAGCTATTAGGAATTTGAGGCGCCGAGGTCTAATCTCATTGCAGATGATTTTTCTTTCATTCCATTATGGGTGATTTTTCTTCATGTCTATTAATATCTTGATCGTTGTTATTGTTGTTTTTTTTTATATAAAAAAAAAAAAAGAAAAGAAAGACTGATTCTTTTTGTAGATTAACTTATTTTAGTTTCTAGGTTTTGATTAAAGGTTAAAATTGTCATGTATATAACCTTAATATGTTCAATAACATTATTTATCAAACAAACTTATTATATTCAATACTTAATTTTCAATAAATACCAAACAGCTTGTCAGCAACATATTCAATACTTAATTATTTAACACTTAAAATTCAATACTTAATCAATTTAGTACTTAATTTTCAATTGTATCAAACACTATGTAATACTAGCAACTTGAAACTTAACGGTTGCGTGATCACATGCCTTTTTCCAAACAATTCCAAAAGCACAACTTTCAAAAGACCCCACGTTTGGCAAATCAGAGGCAAATCCATTACTAGAGAACATTTTCTTATGAAAAAAAAAAAAAAAACATAAGCAAACAATAAAGAATTGATCAACAAAGCTTCTCATTGTTTGCCACGCAACAAAAATTAAGGGTATGTTTAATAAACTATTTAAATAATTTAAAAAATTAAATTGTAATAATTAATATAAAAATTTTGTTTGATAATACAAATAATTTCATATTTAAATTTTAAATTAAGTCAAAATCTATTTAATTAGACAAGTTAAAATTTTTAACTTAAATTTTTTTATTAACACACTTAATTGAAAGATTTTTAAAATTTTTTAAATATAAGTATATAATCTTCATATATTCTTATAACCCTAACTATATAAACAGATTGAGAAACAATCTTAATTATCCCTATTGTCGACATAGAAGAGACTTTCTTTGTTATTGATCTTCCATCCCACCATCGTCAACAACTTGACTTTTCTTCTCTTGCACAAGAAGGTCGGGTGACTGAGGCAATCCGTCTTTGCCAGCATTAGTACCTCAAGAAGATAAATTCAGGACAGATCCAGCATTTCTAGAGAAAACCAGAGCCACCATAAATGGCAACAAAGAAACCCCTCTTAGCCCCAGACACAAAGCTCTTGTCTTTGCTGCTGTTGTTGTTCAAGGAAAAACTAAGTTGTTAGTTCTCATTATCTCTCTGTGGTGACTCGGACCTGGGTAACCCGAGTCTTGATTCAGTGGCTTTCAAGTGAAGACCTTTAAAAGAAGTAGTGGAGATGTTTATTATGCTAGTATCAGAGATATAGAAGAAACCTCTGGTGATAAGCCTATGTAATCATGCTCTAAAGACATAGACATCAAAAAGAAAACTCACTCAAAACAAAACATACGCTGGTTTTCAAGAAGAAAAAAGACTAGAAGACAATAAAGAAAGAAAAGGAAGAGATTTTCTTATCATTTATTTGAATGATGGATGTAAATGGAATATAGAGACATGTACAGTAAAGAAGTGAAAAAGTCGAGGTAGGAGTTTGGTTTAATTTAATTCATGAAGTAGAAAGGTTTTCATTGAAATTTTTTTTATTACTTTGTTTTCATAATCCCGTCCATCCGTAGGAAAAATGAAGATATATATATCAAATAATGATATTATTACAACTACCATTATTAAAACTTCACATGCTCCATCATTAGACTTTAATAATTAGTGTGCAAAAATATTAAACATTTACAGTTAATTTGTAAGACTAAGTTATTGCAAATGAATACTTGAAATTTCATTTATTTTATACATGATACATCTTAAACAATATTTATTTTTTTTATTAATAATTATTTTTATTAAATTTTTATATGTATATTTTTATTTGTATTAAAAAATAACAATTACAAGATTAAAATTGTCAAGCACACACAAATACATATATATATATATATATATGTATGCATCCTTAATGTTGTCACGCACACAAGCACAGACGAATATGAATATATATATGTGTGTGTGTATCCTTAACTTGTTCACCAATAATACTTATGAAACAACCTTATTATATTCGACGCTTCATTTTCAGTTTTATTAAACACTACCTAAGCCTACTTAATTAAAGCACAAAATAAGTCCTCCATAAAACTCTAAATCTCAAATCTACTAGAACAGGCAACAATTCCATTCAGAGTTTCCCATAAACACAAGTTATAGAAAACTTGTAAAACAACAAAAAGGAAGACAACTAAGGAAAATTTCCTTCAATTTCAAGCAGTTACTTAATTAAAGCACAAAATAAGTCCTCAATAAAACTCTAAATCTCAGATCTACTAGAACAGGTAACAATTACCATTCAGAGTTTCCCATATAGAAAACTTGTAAAACAACAAAAAGGGCAAGACAACTAAGGAAAACTTCCTTCAATTTCAAGCAGTTTCAGCAGGGACCTCAGCCATTGGCTCATCAGCTGGCCTATCCAACTTCACACCAACATCTTCAGAATAGTCCCCATGAACCTGCATGCACATTGCATAGCAAAAAATATGAGAAGCAGCTAACAGTATGACATGCATTCGATGGAAAAGTTATCAAAATTCAGAAGTATAAAAATTAACCATATGAAGAACGCCGACAATTATTGGCTATATACTTAGAATGTCTTGAGATTTTTTGATGCATAAAACTTTATCTTTGCAATTATTTTAGTGACCCAAACATCAACACATGATAAGCAGCCCACAGAGAGACATACCTCCATCAATTTTCCAAGATCAAACTTGGGAGCCTTTAAGATCTTCACTTTCCTAATGAAAACATTTTGAAGCGGGTAGATGCTAGAAGTTGCCTTTTCAATTTCCTTGCCAATGCTCTCAGGAATGAACTTGCGGACCAATTCCTTGAGATCGCAAGAAGTAGCTTGGGCTGTCATAATTTCCCTCATTTTGCGGCGAATCTGAGAGACAACAAAAGCAGATTCAAGTCATAAGCAGAAAGAAAACAGCATAACATTTGAGAAGAAAACATGCAACTCCACAAGATATGAACACAAAGCAAATTAATTCAGTAACATTTTCAATCAAACAAATAAATAGAAGTCTCTATTTCCACCATTCCAAAAGTTAGCATCCTCTACAACTTTTGATGAAATAACTTTATTTTATTTGCCGCTAAGTAACATAGATTTCAAATCAGTAGAGCAATACACAACCAAAAAATATATACCAGAAAGATTCTTGTGAAGGACATTCTATATAATTTCAAAGCAAATGCTGAATAAAACAAGAAATATATAGTTATAAAAAAAAAACTTCAGGTCCTATTGCTCTATCAACACACAAGTTCAGTGAACACCTAGATTTTAACATATAATGTGCTTACTTGACGTATTTGGCTGGACTGTGCATAAGCAGTCCTCTTGATTTGGTTGGGACGCCTTTTAGTGAACCCAATGCAAAACATCCTTAAAGTATAGCTATCGGTGGTTTTTACATCAACATAAGCTTCAATCAAAGTCTGCCATTTCCTCACCAAAGACCTCAATTTGTCAGTGGTAAAATTCATTCCCTGCAAAATTTTAAAGGAAGGATTAAAACAAGAACTGTTAAATTAACACATTTTCAACAGAATTAAAATATGATAATGTATGAAAACTACAACTTCCATTATCATACCCAGAAGTTGGTCAAAACATTCTTCCCTTGAACATCTTCAGCTCTCAATCGGATCTTTCTAAAAGCATGGTCCTCATCACCCTGAAGATCGGCAAGTGAGATCTCGAACACACGATGTTTAAGACCTTCTGAAGCAATCTGTTACAAGCCACAGAACACATTATACAAGAAATTCAAAATTAACAATGTGTACCTCAAAACATGAGCAACACATCCTCTCAATACTCATGCAACTATAAAATGAAATATAGTTACAGCATTTCATGCCCAACAGAAGTAAATGGAGAAAACTCCTAACAAACAGAAGCACATGAAATGCAACAAGAACAAAAAATTTATGTTCTTTAATCTATAAAGCAAATGTAACAACAACTACACATGAGCTTCTAGACGTAGACCTGCAACTGTATGAAAAAGATTGGAGTGTCTGAAATTAATTCGTGAATTTAATTGGGGTAAAGGAACAAAGGAGCACATCTTGATCTAGAAAAGAATGAGACAGGATAAAAATTTTCTGCAATAAGTTATAATTTTTTAAACACTCCACATCAAACTTACCACAGAAATTGAATTCATTTGGTAAAATAAGCTCCAACCAATCAAATATCATTCAATACGTTAACAGAATAACAAATTGCTGGAATCTCGTTTCTCTATCACGACCATCAACATCACATCTTAAACAGATTACACTTATTTGAAACACATTGAATCTATGATTTTATCCAAAGACCTCGCCCCAATTAAGCAATCTAATTTTCTTAGACGACCAAAAAAAACGCAAACAATTATTTAAGGAAATGAAGAAACGAAAAGCATTCGTAAATGAAAAAAAAAGTTATATACCTTGGTACCCTGAGTACGGGTAACGAGAGTCTTGCCAACATTTTTAACCGAGAAAACTGAAGGAGCCTTGATATCATACCAATCCTTCTTCGCAAATGGATCAGCTCTAAAAAACAAACACACAACAATAACAAATCAAACGACGGATCTAGAAATCAAGTGTTAAAGACACTGAGTTTTCTCTGCAATACTCACGCCTTCTTCTTTCCTCCTTTCTTTCCCTTGGAAATTCTCTTGTTCTTCCTGTTAACAAACATAACAGAAACACGTATTAATAAAATATTTCCCTTGCATCCTACACATAGAAACATATGCATCACCGTATAGAAAGAGAGAGAGAAAGGGGAAGTGTACCCGACGGCCATGGTTGGAGTTTATGGTGATGGCGAGGGGCTACGAGCTGCAGGGTAGGAGTGAAAAATAGATAGAACGGCTGGGGAAGAGAAAACTCAGAAACCCTACTTGCTGCTGCGTAATTTATAGAGCTATTCTGGTCAGGATGGTTTGGTCTTTTACTTATGAGCCGTTTGTTTTTAGGTTCATCGTGGGCTTGATTATTGCAGGAAGCCCATCCCTGGTTATATTCCAGAGGTTTCGAACGGTTACAAAGTTACAAGCCCACGTATATATATGAGCAAAAAATCATTTTCTTTTATTATTATTTATTACCGAGTGCTTAATGCTTTGCAATTCGTTGCTTTTATTATTACTTATTATTTAATTTAATCAATATTAAGTTTGTTAATTATCACCGTGCTGAATTGTTAATTAATTAAAAATCACATTCTCTCCTTCCATTTTACATGTTGATTCAATGAAGAGTTAATTATATTTTTTGGGTCCTCACTTGTTATTTTTTTCTAATTGAGAGTGTGTTCTTTAAATTTTTTTATTCAAATAGATCAAGTTGTAATTTTTTTTTATCTGAGCGTTTTGGTCAGCTCCAATTAATTTTAATTTTAGGTTGACATGGTTGTTAATTCCACGTGTGAAATTGATACGTGAGCTCCATTGTCAATTTTTTTTCACAAACTTGTATATTTTTTCTATTCGAATATGTAAATTTTGATCTTTACTATTTGAATATACTAATTTATAATTTTTTATATTTGAGTGGTTTTGCTAAAGTTAGGCTGATGTGTCTATTAACAACACATATGGCACCATCATGTAGGCTCCATTATTAAATTTTTGTATTAAAAAATACTACTATAAAAAAAAAAAAGAATGAGTCAATCAATAAATATATAAGATTAAACAATAAACTTCTTTAATTTACCCATCTTATCTAACCTAGAATCAGGTCACCTTTGACTTCAAATTAAAACTCAATTTCATATCGTCATTTTTAAACAACCGTCATTCTCGGCTTTTTTATTGAGAACGAGAATAAATCTTTGTCTTAGTGAATGAACATGATCATATTTATGTTTTTTAATCTTCGAGTCCTTTCCTTATAGCTTATTATGTTTAAATAATTTGTTTGTCTCAAAAAATATATTTTTTTATATAAAGGCAATAAATATTTTATTGTTGTTGTGTAATTTATTTGTGTTTTTTTTTAATTGTTATCTCAAAATGATAATGGATCATCACTTAAAAAAGAAAAATTCTAGTTGCCATGTCCGTTGACAATAGACCCACGTGATGGTTTCATGTGACGAGTTCTATGTGTGTAGTTAGCAGATACGTTAGCTTAGAGTTAACGAAACTATTCAAATATAAAAAATTACAAATTGATATATTTAGATAAAAAAAATCAAATTTTACACACTCAAATATAAAAAATTGACAAGTTTGTACAGAAAAAAGCTACCGAGTAGGGCCGATAAGTTGGTCCCACGTTTGTAGCTAAGGACAACATCAGTATAAAATTAATGTGAGTTAACATAAGCACTTAGATAGAAAAAGTTACAACTTGGTTTACTCGAATAAAAAATATTAAATATCACACATTCAATTAAAAAAAATTGACAAGTTGGGACACCAAAAATGTAATTAACTCTTCATGAATTGCTTACATTAAAAAAAATTTACGATTCAATAATTCTAATTTGAATAATTTTTTTATTTAACTAAAAAAATAGATTTAGTTTCCCACATTTATTGTATAGTCTTTTTTATTTTTTGTACTTTTGACCCTTTTTTTTTAGTAATAAAAAAGAAACTTGAATAGTAGGATTATTAATCATACTTCAATTGTCTATATCCCTTTAAGCCTGCTTGGATTTAATTAGATTGTAAGGTAAATAGACGATTTAAATTAAAAATGAAATGCTTTTGTGAAATGATTATATGTTGTGGCACAAGCAAACGATAATAAATAAAGCAAACTCATGGTTAGTGATGAGCATATATAACGCCAAAAGCTATAAAAAAAAATTATGTTTTTCTCTTTTTACTATGTAGGCATATAATAAACATCATTAGCAATGGTAACCCATGCCAGACATATTTGAAAAAAACACTGTTACAAACACCAAATATTAGAATTTCTCTCCAAACAAACTACTGTAAGTAATTAATTTTTAGTATAAAAAACATTACCTATGACATTAAAAGAAGTGATGAACAATTCATGTGTGTTTTACTGTTAACCTGCATACAATGTATTGTGGATTTAGACTCAATTTCATTATGCATTTTACTATATTGTGGTTTTTTATGATTTCAAGCTATTTTTAGGGATTTTACATGCAAGTTTTTTCAAATGTTACATCTTGTTTCCTAATTTTTTAAACATTTTTATTTTAATTTCGAGCTTCATTTATATCATGTTTTGGTCCCTAAATATAGAATAGAGAAATAAAGGCAGACCATAGAGAAGAAAAAAGTCACGACGAGACTCATTCTAACTACTTTTAACTCTTGATCTTATCTTCAATTTATTTATCTTAAAAAAGAGAATTTGTTTATAATGGTCTCAAAACATAAAGTGATTGATAGATGTAGGTTGGAATTCCGAAATATTTTGAGTTTGACTCTCGATCTTACCTCTAATTTATTTGTTTTGGAGATGAGAGTTTGTTAATGGTGATTTCAAGTTATAAAATGGTTAGTAGCGGATCGACATTCCAAAATATTTTTAGTTTTTAAGTTTGATTGCCTTTTTTTTTTTTTTTTGGAATGTTCAATTGGTAAATCCTACAATTTGAGTTTCAAAATTTTGATTTTGATTTTTCTTATTTGAGTGAACACAATCTCTTGAGACTAAAAAATATTGATTATGTTCGGAATGAACTACCATGTGAAAAAAAAAAAAAAAGGATTATACTAGGATTATTCATGAAAAAAATATATTTTTTTTAGATAAAATTGCAATTTGAGTGCCTAAACTTTTTATTATTTTTCTATTTGAGTGTCCAACATTTGATTTTTTTTTAATTCTCTCGATCGGTTAAGATTAAAAATACTAATGTAGTCAAAATCTACTACACGTGACAATCTTTAACTAACACATCACAATAAGTAGATTCCACTTAGATTTATCGAGAAAAAATTGTAAAACTTTTATAAGAAAAAAAAGTGATAATAATTAAAAAAATCAAAATCAATTACTATTAGCCGAACGAACTCGACAAGTTTGCCAAGCAATTTCTTAAAACACTTCCAAAATATCATTATCTAAACATTTCTTTTGCTTTAACTAAGAGTTTTAACATTGGATCATCTAAATAATTTGAGTTCAATTTGCTAATAGTAATTGATTTTGATTTTTTTTTAATTATTGCCAACTATTTTTTTATATAAAAGTTTTTTATACATTTTTTTTAAACTTTTTTCTCAATAAATTTAAATGGAACCTATTTTTTACCACATATTTGTTAAAAACTATAGTATGGCAACGATCTTGGTCATGTTAGTATTTTTTAGTTTCGGGTGACCTAGAGAACTTAAACGAAAAAAAAAATCAATCATTAGGCACATAAATAGAAAAATAACAAAAGGTTAGACACTCAAATTATTTTTATTTTGAATAATCTAAATGGAACCCACTTTTTATCATGTATAAGTTAAAAAATATCACGTTGTAGTTCTTCCCGGATAAATTAGTATTTTTTCTATCTCATATGATTACAAGCATTCGAGTAGAAAAAACAAAAAAATACCTTGATACTTAAATTTTTTTTTTCTAAATTTTATGCATTTTATGTATATTCAATTGAGTTTTGAGATTCTAAAAGAGTTAATTGACCATATTTTTATAATTTTAAAGTGTTTTGGAATAAAAATAGGGGTAAAATTGAGTTAGAGAGGCTGAAAACTCAAAATCTAGATTTTTCGATGAATTGGAGTTCGTCGAATTTGCAATCAAACAACACATCATTTATTGTAAAGTGAGCTAGCGACTTGTCTTCCATTTTTTAAGACTAGCATGTGCGGGCTTGATTCTCCAAACCCAAGGGCATATGCCTAACTTGTTTTATATATTTTTATTTTTTAGTAATTTATTATTAAATGTTTATTGTTGATTTTTGTGCAAAAATTATGAAATATTGATCATTATTTTTTAGGCCGTTTTACATAGTCTAGAAAGGGAAAAAAATACATGATATGTTTTTATATTTAAAATGAACATGTATTTAAGGTTATATTACTCTTATAATTTAAAATTCTCATCTAATTATTTTTTTTCCTTTTTATAAAACTAAGATAATTAATAAAAAAAAATCTTAAAAAAATCTTTTATCTAAAAACCCTAACAATATATTTTTGAATCCATCCAACCCAAATTATTTTCTTATCAAAACACTCACTAGTTAATCTTTCAACTTAATATTGACTAATGTATTTTAGTTATTAACCAAAGTATTCTTTGATATAGTTTAACAAAAAATAACGCTTCGCCAATTAATCATAGAAGATATAATAATAAAGGTACAAAAAGCTCTTTATCATAAAAGTTTTTCTAAGAACTCTATTGGAAAAATTATCCTTTAATAGGGTCTAAAACATAGATGAACAAGCTATTAGCCTATTTCAATATCGATTATAGTGAGATATTTTTCATAAAAATCCCACCCCACGAGACTAAACCAAAACAAAAGACAATATAATAGACACGTAAAGCAAAATAAAAACATTATAAGATCCGGAATTATAAAAACATTTAAAGGGACATTACTCATATCTAAGTAAACAAAACTATTGAGATTTAAAAAAGTACACAAGCAACTTCAAAAACCAATCATTGAGCCTTGTACGTAGAGCTAACTCCTTCAACTAGCTTAACTTCGAATATTCAAACTATATAGATATTTTAGTTCATGAATGCTATGTTTTGCAATTAAGTTGTTCTTTTTTTCTTTCTTTTTCTAGGAGCTTAAAAGCTCGGAATAAAGAAAAACTAATTGCAAAATAACCAAGATATATATCTTTGTAGATATTAAATGTTGAAATGGTGTAACAACCTTACTCCTCACAACTTTGTTAATTTCATAACCAAAATTATGGTTTGGTATATCATATAGAATACTTTAGATCTATTATTGTCAAAGATTATCAATAATTATCATTAAAAAAACATATTTCAATGCATTAGTGGTAAAATAAAACTACCAAGTTAGTGATATGACGATTCAAAAACTAAAACTTTAGAAAAATCAATCAAAACAAGTAAATGAATATTACTTTTATACAAATTTATGAGTGAATATAAATATTGAATTTACTATAAATGTTCTTGTACTATAATTGGCCATTGAGATATCTATGGACACCACTAAAGTAATAAAGTGGTATAAACAACGTTTATAAAATCAAATCAAACAACTAAGACATCAAAAAATACATTTCAAAAATCATATTATAGTAAGGTTGAAAAAAAAAGTCGAAATCATTGGTAAATCTTAAAAATTAGAATAAAATTGAAAATACTAAAAATAAGAAGAATGCTATCTTTCAAAATAATCGTGACAAGACGAGCTACTTTTTACATAATCGATTCACCCAAATAGCTTTGTTACAAGTCATGTGATTTTGAATCACATTTTGACACTAACTATAATATAGTGGTCTTTTAGGATCTCCTATAATTCAATTCTCTTCCTTTTTGGTCGGCCTAAGCATGGACATGTTTATGACAAAAGTATAAGAGCATGTTTTTGTAATTTCTTGAAGATCATATAAAAAAATGATCAGCATGTCATCTTCAAACATTATAGCACTAGACTTTGCATACGCTAATCTCCATAGCTCGGTTTTAAAATATGAAGAACAATAATTCGTTATATTTCTTCATAAATCTTAGCGACATGAACACATGCAAGTTTAGTTGTGTGTTGTGGTTTATAACTATAACTCATGGTCTCTAAGTTCACTCGCATGTCTCTTACCCTTGTCAACCTCAAATAGACTATGATTTGAAGAAGAAACTCGATAGACAAGAGATGGTAAAACATGTTTTCTTATCACACTATCCACAGTTGGTGTAAAAGATTTTGATCATGCAATTGGTTATTCTTTACATTTATTGAACATAACCATCAACTTTTTTTTGAATATTATTTACCATTGGAATGATAGGAAGAGACTCGTGCTTTAAGTATCCAACTATTAAAAGTTTTACGATATTTATTATTAAATTTTTAAACCTACAACCCCTTGTAAATCCATGACTTGAAGTCATTGGTGGCTTTCCACTTATGTGAGTAAAGTTGTCGATGACTTGCTACTCATGCTAATAAAATGCTATCCATCATTATAAACTTACCTATTTGTTGATAATAGAACATGTTTCCTAACAACTAGTCAAAATTCTAACTTTTTCCACCTTTTCCCTTTAAGTAAGGGGTATTGGCCTTGAACCAATATGAACCCCAAAACTACTCTATTTTACATGTAAACACTCGAACTGCTCGTTTTTGTATTTTTATAAAATAAAATCATTTAAATTGACATAGAGGCATAACACGGTAAAAAGTCGATTTTTATGTTCACATGCAAATAATGCAGCCTACCTTAGGTAGATGTGATGGTGGTAATGTTATATCTTTTTCATACATAACCAACCCCTTATCTAGATATCTATGTAGACTAGCATGTTTAAGGATTCCTAGTTCTCTCCGATTAGCTAGGCGGCGACTCCTTGTGCTCCCTCGCGAGTCGACGTTGCCAATGATTATGATATGGAGTGACTTTTATATTTTCTTTCATGTTTTTACGTTTTTTCTTTCTTACGAACAAGTAATTTTTTAAATATTAATTTCAATTTAATTTATATTATTTTAATTTTAATACAAAAAATTAATTTTTATAATAAGTTGTTTTTTTAATTGTTAGTTATTATCGAAAATATCAAAAATTTTAGAATTAAATAACAAATAAAAAAATGTTTGTGATAGATCGAAGAAAAAAATTAAATTCTTCCAAAAAAACAACAAAGAAAAAAAATGTCGTTATTTAATGATGACGATGGATTTGCAACCAAAACTAGTATTGGATCATTGCGATGGTTTATCAATCATTATTTAGCGACGAATTAAAAACATATTTATATCAGAATTGAGATGAATAATATGGTAGAAATAAGATGGTTTTGGTGTGAAATTAATAACGAACTTAAACTAGTCAGTGACGATGGACACTGTTTAATCCGTTGTAGAGGTTAGTGATAAGTATTTTGGTTATAGATTTTTTTCATCGTAAATTTATCGCTAGATATAACGACGAATTTTACTGATATGGTAATAGAATAATCTGTTGCTAATATGCTGTTGTCTTGTAGTGTTTGTGTAGCAAAAGTAAGAAACTGGTATATCTTATTTAATCTATATTTTATTTTTTTAACTCAACCCCTTTTATTGTGCAAGCACAAGCAGATAAAATTAATACGAGTTGGTACAGATCGAAATAGGCGTGAACATTTAATTTCTTGGCAATAAATACATTGCGATGTTATACGAGCCAGTCGGGCCTATTTTACAGAGTACAGTTTTCAAATTTCAACCTTGTCAGGCTGTCACGTACATAAAGCATCACCTTTGTCCAGTAAAATTAAAAGCACGTACTCTGTTTTTATTAATTATATCAGTCACGGTAATTTGTCAAATACAATACTATTATACTAGTAATATTGATTAACGCCCCTGCAAGGGCAGCGGTGGCTATGCTGGTGGAGGAAGCGGTGGTTACACACGTTGGTGCTGGAGTTCTAGCTAGAAAATGGGGCACTGAATGGAGGCACAACTAATCGGATGTGCATAAAAGTTACTACATTCATCAGGTGTGCGCTGGAAAGGCCTATTTGGAATACAATTCCTCCTGTCATCATTTCCCGGCAATCTGAGGCACACCAGCGGCTCACCAGAAAAGTAATTAGACGAGTATGTGAAATTCTCCAACTTAGGCAAGGAACATATACTGCTAGGAACTTGCCCGGAAAACTTGTTATGTGCCACGTTCAGCTGCTCCAAGCTCTTCATTGCTCCTATTGACTCTGGCAAAGGCCCAGCTAGATAGTTGAAGCTGACATCAAGAACTGTCAAACCTCTTAGCAGCCCAATATCTTGTCGTAAGCAACCTGTTAACGCTATATTAGAGAGAATAATCTCATCAAGGGTTTCTGCCATGTTTGCCAAACTTGGAGGAATGCAGCCTCTGATATCATTGTTGGCTACTACAAACACCGAGACTGGAGAGTTTCCTAGGTTAGAAGGGAGGGTTGACTGAAATCTGTTATTATTTATGAAAAGAGCATCTAGTTTTAGCTCAAAAAGCTCTGGTGGGATCTTTCCATCGAACTCATTGAACCTCACATCAAGATATTTGAGCGAATGCAAAAAGAAAACAACACCGGGAAACGGACCACTAAAGTGGTTGTTACTAATGTCAAGCTCAAAAAGAAATTTGAGATGGATAAAGCTATCAGGGATGACACCGAAGAAGCGATTGGTGTTTATGTGAAAGAGAGCAAGGTCCTTGAGGAGGCCAAGTTCTTCAGGCAAAAAACCGGCTATGTTGGCGTGGTTTAGGTCTATGCCGGCAACCGTTAAGATAAAAGGGTCATATGGGGCTGGGGCACAGTATACACCGGTGTAGTTGCATACATGCGGCCCACACCAGTTGGCTGTAAATTGGTGGGGGTCGGAGGTTATCGCATTTTTCCAAGCTTGGAGAGCTATGTAAGCCTTCACGAGTTGGGGGCTTGTGATGGGTAAATCAGGTGGATAAAAAATTTGTGGACTGACCCTGGGGAAGAAGAGCATGATGTTGATGATGCTCCAGAGGGCTAGATTGATGAAATCTGAACTCTTCATCATTTGGAGAGAGATTCCACGGATGATTTTTTTTTTTTTTTGATAAACACCAATGATATTTGGTTCTGCTTTTGTTGTTTAAATATAAAAATCACTCGTACTATCAGTACTGAGTGCTGCTTGTGTTAAATGGAGGCTTGGAAGGTTTATATAAGTTGAGGACATTGCAATAATAGCATGTAAAATTTGGTCTAGCTGATCAACCTATTCACAAAATTTAGTTTATTGTTTAATTTGGTCGAATTGTGTGTTTCCCCCTTGCAAATAATCAAATTTGAGAAGAGGGTTAGAACTTGGTTGCATCCGAATCATGTCCTTGCTACTTGCTAATTCAAGAACGGATAGAAGAAAAAACCAGCTTAAAAATTGCTTTATCATACTATGTGAAAGTTTCTGTCCTTGATCAATAAAAGTTAAAACTTTTTTTTTTTTTCCTTTTTCTCCATTCTATGTGCATGTGTACTTTTGTACATGGATCTGATTGTATATTCTGTCATTGCTGAAGTCGCTTGCAGTTGGATTTCATGCAATTAGGTATGGGTGGTTATGCACAAGGTTTCCCATGAATCTAGATTGTGAGCATTATTAACAAACCTTGGTGGTTGGCAATTGATGTGAGAATTAATCATCCCAAAAAAGTGTCCATCTACCAATCGATTAATTACATCATCAGCGATTAATTACTTGGGTTATGTATATGTATATATATTCAAGCAGTTGGTATATAGTTGAAGGAGTATGATGAGAAGCTGTATAATTTAATAAGATTGTACCACATGTTTTTTTCTTGTTATAGTAGTAGTGAAGAAGAGGTAGAGATAAGGTTCAGTATATGTGTGTGTATATATATTCAATGCGATCACGTTATCATTGTCAGGAAGCCACTTACCATGCATGTACCAAGTTGCCTGCTTAGGTCTCTTAGCTTTATCTCATAGTAATTTGGGCACAGATAATACAACTCCCAACCAATATTAATAAAACCCAACGGGTTGGTTTCGGTTTGAGGCCCAGCTCCGGGTCCGATTCCTGCAATCTCGGTTTATGAAGGTTGATCAGAAGGGCTAAACTCTCTTAGGAAAAATAAAAAAGTGAATGAAAAAGTCACTACGAAGTTTTCCTTTCGTCCGACGAAAAGTAATCGCTCATCACCTAACAGTACGCATTTGGCTAAGACGTTGAAGTTTGATTTTCCTATAATATTTTGATAGACAGGATTTTAACCAGACATAAGATTGTGGGTTTAATGTCACATGGAAGAGCAGTTGGGCTTTAAAAGCTAGCACGCCTGGCTTGCATTGCCCATTAATTTCTTCTACTTTCTGATACTATTTTCAGGGCTAATTACTTTGGTTTGCCTGGGTTCATACTCCATTTCAAGCACCGCGAAAGCTCAACCTGAGAAGAATTATTTATTTTCACAACAATATAGGGTGGTTTCAGGTTCTACACAAAATGGAATTTTTTTAAAAAAGAAAACCCAATGGCTGAAAAAGGCAAAGAGAGCCAATGATCACGTGGGCATGTTATATATATATATATATATATATATATATATATATGAATTTTAAATATTTATCTTTCTTTTTTTAACAAAATAAGGTATTTTAAATTTTTTTTTCCCAAAACAAAGCATTTTTAATCTTATTTACTAAGAGGGGTTCTTTTGTACCATGTAGATATACATATCAGCTTTTTAATTAATATTATATTATTAGTGATTTATTAATTGTTATCTAATAAAACAAGAAAAAAAAAAGAAATTAAAAGGATTACACTACTTGTCTCCTATAAACGCTAACTTTCTCTATCTGTCTACAATAGCTTTCTTTACTCCATCTGTGTTTTTCCTAGATTCAGATGCTTTCGATTTCAAGAAGGTACCAAAAAGAAGAAGAAGATCAATTGCATGTGTTTTATTTTACTAACGTAGAAAAATAATATATATATATATATATATATATATAGCTTTAAATTCAACAACTTTTTTTTTCTAAATTTTAATTAAAAAAATAGAAGAAACAAAGATCTCGTGCGATTGTCCGTAGTGCCAAGTAATTGAACTCTCAAGTTTTGATAATAAAACTGTATGTGATGGAGTTTTTCAATTGCTATGGGTATCCCTTAACCATTTGAACAAAATGACATGAATTTCCTTCAGCACTTTATAAAAATCGAGAAAGTGATTGGGAAGGAGAGGGAAAAAAAAAGCATTTAATGCCACGGTGGCATATGGGTGACACTACCTTGAACCTCCACTGGCACCATATGGATGGAAGCTGCAAAATTTCAAAATCGACAACATCAACACGTTCGAAGCATAGCTTTGAAATCGTGGAAGAAAAATACGTCAATATTGTTGAATAAAATTCCCAATGGAGATAAATCGAGACTTGAAATTAGAGATCCGGCTACCACGCCATTCATAAGCTTTCCTCCTTAATTTTTAGTTGTTTTATTAATTAGAATTCTTTGAAATTATTTAACAAAACATGATTATTAGAATTTTGAAATCTAGACAAAAACAAAGATTATCTTAACAGTTTGCGAAATTAAGTTATTTAGCTCTTAGAATCTATTAAAAAACTACCATGCAAGAAAAGAAATATCTTTAGTTTTGGTACATAGAAAGAAAAAATAACAACCAAACTTTATGTTGAGCAATACCACAAGGATCTGCCCATAGAAAAAGGAGCTCGCCTAGAGACTACTACCAAATAGTCAAGGGGCTCCAAGAACAAAAAGTTTTTGACGAAAAAATCGGCATATGCATTCCCTTCAAGAAGAACATAAGGTAAAAGAAAATAATAATACAAAAAAAGTAAAATAAAGAGATTTTAACGACCAAATTATAAATTAGTCTCTCTAATAGTTTTTGAAAAAAAAATAATTTTTTTATTTCAAAAGCTATTATTTAGTGATTTGACCCATATTCATCATGTCAATGTTATTTATATTTTACAAAATGTCTTTTTTTAATAATCTTTTCATATTTTTCATATTTTTTAAATAAATAATCAAAGTAAATTAAAAAAATAAATATGTTATAAATAGATCTAAAGTCATGAATACCAAATTATTAATTTTTAAAATAAAAAATTTATTTATTTATTTATCAAAATAAGAAGGACTAATTTGTAATTTACTCATATTTCGGCACATCTTAGGCCTCACCGTCATGTTTGTGGAGAAAATCATGTCATCTTTAATGGGTTCCAAAGCAATTTCTCTGCTGTTATATCTTTATTAGTGGAGTAATTACACCCTATGAATACTATTATAGGAGTAAAAGTTTTCTTGGCGATCGTCATCGTTTATGTGTTCTAAACAATCTCTCTTGTTATGTCTCTATTCAGGCTCTCGACACATCGGTCAAATAGATTTTGTGATGGGCCTAGTGGGCCGGCAAGCTTGCATTTTTTCCCCCTCTTGAGCAACCACTTTCTTGTAGGTTAAGACTCCACTATTGTCAGTATGTACCTCCTCCAGCTTTAACTTGACCTCTTCTGAAGAAATATATTAATTGGCCCGTTAAAGGGAGAGATTTAAATGGTAGTTGACTAACAAATTCATTAATTAACTAAAGAAAATAATTAAAATGGCCTTTAGATGCACGTGGAATTTACTTTTTATTATCATATCTATTATTTTAATATGTTCATCCAAAAATATAAATAAATTTAACATTCTGCATCGATTAATACAACCTTCTATTTAATTTTTCATTAAGTATTTTAATATTATATATATAATAAGCTGGTTAAAGTTGTTTTCGTGACTTTTTTTTCTCTATCGTGAAATCATCACATCAAGGATGGTTTAGAAAGCGGAAGCATATAAAGGGATATAAAAGCAAAATATTCAAGTTATATAATTGTATAAACATCTATAAAGGTATCAGAATCAAAAAGTTGAAGTGTCGATATATAAATATAATACAGTGACTGTGTTTTTTTTTGTCTTCCTTTTGTTTTTCTTTTTTGGCCACTCTGGTGCGCGATCTGTTGGCTGTTTTTTCAAATACAAGAGTAGTTAGGTAGACTTGAATGATAAAGTCTTAAGAATTGTTGTCCTTTTGAATCGAAAGAAGCATTTTTTTTTTTTAATGAATAAACTAAGAATTGTGTTGAAGTGCCGTAGACATTGGCCTTATTTTATATATTTCAGAGATTTTCCGTGTAGTATTTATGATTCGACGATAAGTATAACAAAGACATGGTAAGGGAATGGTTTCCCTTGCAGGGGCAGAAATATGTGTCCTTTGCTTGCAATATTATCCTCTTTTGATTGCTTTTCTTCCTTGTCTGTTATTGGATACATAGTCATATATAAACTAATTTAAATAATTTCACCACTATTTCGACATTATTATTAAATCTTGAAATTCATTATATATATCTCTTTAGTAAAATATTTTTTCAAAATAGTTTACATGTAAATCAAAATTATTATTTTTAAAAATAATTATAAAAATAAACATCTCTCTTTGATTTGATATATTTTAAAAAAATTAATAATTTTCTTAAATATTTTTTTTTTAATTTTTTTATTATTATTTTAAAGTCATGGTTACGTACAATTTGGTATTTTCCTCTTGGAGTCCTGTGATACAACTCGTGCCTTGTGAGAGGAAAAGAAGGCTGCTTCTTATGAGCAGTAAACGGCCAATTGCGGAGTTTCTCTCTCGTCTCGGTCAAACCAAATGCCATTTTTATAAGAGAATTAGTTTTAGTTTTGCATTTTCTCCAAAATAAAAACCAATCCCGATGACTTCTCTTAAAAGAAATTAATAGAAAGAAGCTAGCTAGCTAGCTAGAACGCTTTCGTGGGGAGGGATTTTCACATAAAAGAGCACTGCTATTCACGCATTCTCATTGCTATATAAGTTGTATTGGATCAAAATTAGAGGTAAAGGTGTATTATGATACAAGAGTAAATTATAAATTAGTTTCTTTATTTTTGAAAAACAAGCTAATTAATTATTTTTACTTTAAAGACTATTTTGAATTTTTTTTATTAATAATGGTTATTTTAAATTTAATATTATTTTATTTAAAAAATATCATCTTTTCTCATTCGTATTTTTTCAAAGAAAAATCGACATTCATATAAATTTCATTAACAAATAAATACACACAAACATTTAATTTATACGTGACTGAGCTGGCATGCACATGCTTGTGCTTTTTTTCAATAAAAAGTTTACCTTCAAGGAAATTTCATTTACAAATACTCCATCAGCATGGAAATCAAGGATATCCCTAGTTCTCCAGGACGCAGTGTGAGAAATTAAAACAATATATCTACGACAAGAACCAATTAATATATGCGCAGGAATTGGCCATAGCTAGCTGTGCTTCAGCTCGAAATATGTGTCTTATGATGATGCCTATTCCCTTAATCTTTGATTCTATATAGACCACAATCCTAAATATAAATGATACTAACGCAGTGTTGAATTTAATTATTTCTCTTTCTACGGTGGCCTGCAGCCAGTCAAGCTTTTTTAATCACTATCGGTTGATCAATGATAAGTACTAGCAAGATTCATGACCGTAACTGGTACATAATTCGCCATATTATAGTTTGGGATCACTAATTAAGAACAATATTATGGATTTACCAAAATCTCAATTTGATTTTCAACTTAGCAGATGTTACGTACATATTGGCACAAATTTAGGAGGCGTGCTAATATTTCCGCACAAACAATCATCGTTGAAATTGTATTATAACTTTCTTAAATTACAACAATCAATCTCTTGATTTATTAAGATAAATAACCAGATTTGTTGAAGCAATTCAAGAGATTAATTGAAACAATAGATGATTTATTTTGTAATAATATATTTGATTTATTTTTTCACGTATTACTCATTATAAACATGGATCATTTGTAATATTTTTAAATACTAATTAATTAAAATACAATATATAGCTCTTGTAGTTTTTGGGTCCATGGAGTAAGCCACCGTTTTCAAACCACCTTAATTCTTTTATTTTTTTGTTATTCAAAATTTAAGATGTTATCAAAACAATTTCGATTCTTGTACGTACGTGGGCCAATTATTTTTTTATCATTGTTAGCCTTTTGTATTTATGAACTAATCTTTTATAAATTTTTTTGTACCACATCGCGTTTTTCAACTACAATATTCTATATTAATATTTGGCCATGAGCCATTTTCAATCAAGTTTCACCCAACTTTAAGGTATTAGATTATGTTTTAGCTAAAGTCTTTCGGTTTAAGGCTTTGGTTCTTTTCAACTTTATTTTCATCAACACTCGACATGTATTTAGCTTTAGAATTTTATGGCAAACTTTTAAATTCTGTTTTGCCTAAGATGTTGTTGGGCAAGATTTTCATTGTTATTGGCTTTAGATATTTTTCAGTCATAACATAGATAATTGCAATATGATAATTTTCTTATGTTCGTACTTATTTTGAAGGAGAGTATTGAAAAATTTATTAACTTTCTAAAATTACAAAGATCAAATAAATCACTAGATTTTTTTATAGCAATTCAACAATTCAAAATTTTATTTTATAATAATATATTTTATTTTTTCCTCATATATCACCCATTATAAATATAGGTTATTTATAATCTCTTCAAATAATAATCAACTGAAATACAATGTGCAGCTCTTTCTAGTTTTTTTTTTAGTCCGTGGAATAGGCCATTTTATCCGATCACCTTAATTATTTTTGTCTTTATTCATTCATTTATTTTCTACCACTAAAAATTTAAGAACCACATGCATGCTTTTCCAAAGTAAATATACTTAATTATTCTTCTATGGTATAATGAAAATAAAAATAAGAATAAAATCCTGCAACAGAAGAAATACCTTTCATTTCAAGAAATATATGTGTACACCAATGCCAACAATGCAAGTCAGCTTGTAAAAGAAAATAAAATGAAAACTAAATTAAACAATCTACATCTCATCTTTTTTCCCAGGTATAGCTGTCAAAAGAGACCCCAAGTAGAAGAAATCAACCTGTTTTTTCTTTTGCTTAAAAAAAGCAAGAGATGAACCTGTTTTATAATATCTAAAGTCCCTGTGACGGTCAAGGATAATAAAAATGATGTGGCGGCGGCGGCGGGGGTGGAGGTGGTGGCGGCGGGGGAGGAGGAGGAGGAGGAGGAGGTGGTGGTGGTGGAGGTCTAGGTGAGCACCCGGAGGCACTGCAGCTGACAGGAGAAGCATAGAAGGATTTGCATTCCTGAGGCGATCGCTGCAAAGGCCTCTCGGGTATGCAGTTCTTCGTATCGTCTTTAGCTGGTAGCTTGAGGCACACTGGAGGCTCTCCATAGAAGTAATTATAAGAGTATGTGAAATTCTCCAACCTAGGCAGTAAGCATATGCTCTGTGGAATGTCACCAGAAAGTTTGTTGTGTGCCACATTCAGCTGCTCCAACTTTTTCATTTCTCCTATAGACTCTGGCAGTGAACCCACAAGCTTGTTAGAGCTTATATCAAAAACTGTCAATTGGTTCAACAGCCCTATATCTAATGGCAAACAACCAGTCAATCCCATATTGGTCAGGATTATCTCATTAAGGGTCCCTGCCATTTTTGTCAAACTTGAAGGAAAGCAGCCATTAAAATTGTTATTTGCGAATACAATGACCGAAACTGGAGAGTTGCCGAAGTTTTTAGGTAAGGATGATTGGAATTTGTTGTTGTTAATGAAAAGTGCATCAAGATTTAGATCAAAAAGTTTAGAGGGAATCTTGCCTTGAAACTCATTGAACCTTATATCAAGAAATTTGAGTGAAGGTAGGGAAAGAACAACAGAAGGAAATTCACCACTGAATTGGTTGTTGCTAATGTCAAGCTCATAAAGAAGGTTGAGTTTGATAAAGCTACCAGGGATGGAGCCACAGAAGCGGTTGGAGTTTATGTGGAAGAGAGCTAGGTCACTGAGGAGGCCAAGGTCTTCTGGCAAAGAACCAGTTATATTCGCATGGTTTAGGTCTATGCCAGCAACTGTTAAGGTGTTAGGGTCATCCGGGGCTGGTGCACAATAGACTCCCGTGTAGTTGCAAACATTTGGGCCTTGCCAGTTTGAGATAAAGTTTTTGGGGTCAGAGGTGATTGCATGTTTCAAAGCTTGAAGAGCTATGTAAGCCTTTAGGAGTCTAGGGTTTTGGATGGGCGGAAGATCTTGATCTACAAAGAGCTGATAAGAGGTTTTAGGGAAAAATACTATGATACTGAGGATGCCAAAGAAGGCTAGAGTGAGATGTGGGTTCTTCATTTTTTGAGAAGGAAATGCCATCAAATGATGGAGTACTCGAGGTTTATGGAAAGATAAGAGGAATTAGGCTTATTTATATTAGATTTATTGAACAAAGCTAGGATGATGTTATCAATGATTTGTACCATAAAATAATGTGTATTTCATTAAGGGATTATAAGACTTCTGGCTATCTCATTTTAGTTGAGGTCATACGATTACTAGACTACAGAAAGGCTTTACTGTTCAATTAATTTGACTTCATTGATCATTCATTCTGGAAGGTAACAGGAGTTTTCTTGATATATGTTTAGCTAGGTATATCTTTTATTTTTTATTTTTTTGTTACTCTTTATTACTAGTGCACTGGCTGGCATTATAGCGATTGGTAGTTGTAATAGATGCTACATCCATCGTTTTATTGTGTTCTTTGTTAGGAGGGAAATTGGTACCTGATCTCACCAGAAACACGGTGTTTACAATTTGGATTTTTTTTTCTGATAAATACGTTTTGGTTTGTTATAAGTTAATATACATATGTTTGTTTGGAAATTAGGGATTGCTTAAATTATAATGGTATGAAGTTGTCAGCTTAATTTATTATATTGACTGGTTGTAGGGACTAGGGAGAGCAAGTGGGCTAAAGACGCGACGACCAATACAACAAAATCGTAGTGAAAACGAGTTAAATAAAAGTGAACGTGAAGCATGTATGAAGACATACATATACGGACGTATATACACCATATATGTATATATTAGAAATAATGTATTCTTGTTTGAGAAGACGTTTTTGTTCACGATATATATGATCTGTACTATACACATGAATATTGCCATGCATTTGAGGGTTTTGTTTTCTCTCATTTCAATGTCAAGTTGGTGTATAAATTAATGTGCTTTGGTTAATTGAGGTCTTGGCAGTATTCTTTAAGTTGGAATATTTTCTAGTTTGCGGTTGTTTATCTAAGGATTAAGCTTACCTTCTATATATATAAAAGTACTTCTAAGTTCTAATTTATTAAGTTGGTGGTTGGAAATTTGAAAAGAGAATCATCTAAGAAAATATAATAACACCCATTAATAAATAATTAAGTACCATAAGTTGAAGATTTCTAAGAAAACATAATAACACCAATTAATAAATAAGTACCATAAGTTGAAGATTTCTAATTGACTTAACATTTTGTCTATTTTGACGAAGTAAACGCATGTGAAATTATTGTGTGAAAGAATTACTATGATCATATGCAAAACAAATTGTCTGAAGAAGATTGATCCATGGGAAGCTGGACTTATATATAAGCTCACATTTGGGACCAAAAAAGCTTTTCTTTTTAGTGTATATATATATGTGTGTGTCTGTATCTGTGTCAAAAACAAAAAAGAAAAAAAGAAAAAAGATGAAGATAAGATTGATCACTCTCACAAGATTGATCAAGAGTGAATCCTAAAGCCTATCAATGGCACAAATTTGAAGAAACCACTTTTCCCAACTGATTGGTGCATAATAGTAAATGGAAAACTGCCACGACAAAGTCATCCTTTCGACTTCAATAGAGGGCAATCTGACAATAAAATTATTTGCAACTGCGGTAGCTAGCTAGCTCACTATGCATACTTTATTTTATTTCTCCGTAGTTGAGGAAATAATTAAAGACAAGACTGGATTGAATCTGAATCTCATTCCCTTTCCTTGCATATGCATGTTTCGATGAACAAAACACCACGAGGCTAGCTACCTCTGTGTCAAACATATGTACCAAATTCCTGCCCTAAAACATTTGTGCTTTTTGAATTTGATTAGAGTTCTATACATTAATTGTACAAATTAAGAAGACCTTCAATAACAGTGGAACGTAGCCAAGCCTAAGATTGATCCTTGTTTGATTAAATTCAATTAATTATAGGGCAGTTGGGATTTAAGAGCTGTCACATTGAAACTTGCCATCGTCCATTTAAGGATGTATGAACTGAAATTATAGTCCTAGGTTCTTTTTGCTTGTGACCGTAAAATTTGGTTTTATTTAATTCCACTTGTGCAAGTGGAAACCTGTTGGAGAGAGAGATTGAGATCTTAATTAAGTCAAACATAAGGTTAGGTTGCAAAGGAAACACGCTTCAAACAGAGATATAAAACAAGAAAAACTATATAAGCAAGAAATTAATTTGTAAAAAATATGTATTTCCTCGTAGACAGGAAAAACTAGATTTTGTCCATGCCAAGTAAATGTCCTTAGTTTGGATAAGGAGGAGGGAAAATTCCAAACTTGATACAGCAAGAAAAAATAAACATCGAAGCAAGAAACCATTAGAAAGTTGATGAGGAATACAAGAAAGTATAAACGGAAGTAAGACAAGGTAGGAAGCCAATCTTTTGTTTGCCTCTTGATGTAAGTAAATACCCTGACGGCCACCTTACTGGTTCATATATATATGCACAGCCAGGGATATATACAATATACTGTATATTTATTTGTAAAATCTTTAAATATAGTAATTAGCACACGCATTTTGCAATGAGACTATAGAAAGCATTTTGCTTAAATTGAAAATAGATAGTAAGAAAATAAACCTTTGTATATTTAATTTAAATTAGTTCTAGAATGTTATGTCCAAGTCAATATACCAAACTCATTAGACCAAATTGCTAACAAGGGACCATGTCAGCCATCGTTAGCATTTTTGTTTTTTTGTTCTTTTACTTTTCTCTTTTTGAGAGAACATGAAAATAACTTGGAGCACATCGATTTGGAAATTAAGAATGGAAAAGAATAACCTAGCTAATTACATTAATGCAATAATAAACCAATAACATGCACCAAACACATTCGGCAAAGTCATGATTTTGATTGTCTGGACAAAAGTCAACCGAATCCGACAGCCTCTTTCTTTGTTTTTTGGCATGCTTAAGTTGGTGCTTGAATCAATAATGGTCTCTTTCTATGTGTTTTTTTGCTTGCTACAGTTTTTACCCATTGTCTTGTTATACGTATGGTGGTTGGGATGTGTAAAGAAAGGGAAAGGTCAACACATATACATGATTATTTTCTTCTTTTTTTCTCCTTCTAGAGAGCATAACTGAATATATATGCTTTGATTCATGGAGTTCGGTAGTTGAGAAAAATATACATGGTAGAGGGTATTCTATCTCACTCTTTGTTCATTATTCATTTTTTTTTTTCAAATACCGCTTAAAACGATCAAGGGCTTGGTCAATAGAACGTGTCCATTTTTAAAAGAAACTTCAATTTAGTCTCAAACTTATATATTCATTCTCAATTGAGTTTCGAACTCTATAAAATCAATCAATTGATCCTAAATGCTTCAAAACTCTCTCTCTCTCTCTCTCTCTCTCTCTCTATATATGTGCTAATTTGATTCATGAAATTCGGTAGTTAAGAAAAATATACATCATGGAGGGTATTCTATCTCACTCTTTGTTCATTATTCAATTTTTTTTTTCAAATATCGATTAAAACGAGCAAGGGCTTGGCCAAAATGTGTTCACTTTTTTAAAAGAAATTTCAATTTAGTCCCAAACTTATATATTCATTCTCAATTGAATTTTGAACCCTATAAAATTAATCAATTGATCCTAAATGTTTCAAAATTTTCTCAATCAAGTCTTTATCTTGATATTCATCAATATTTTTGTCAAATTTTCTTTGAACTGACACCATTTTAATGCTTAAATACGGACATTAGATAAAAAATGTCAATGTTTAATAAAATTTCTATCATATTTCCTTGAAATTGAGACTTTTTTAGTGCATAAAGTACGCATATTAGTCTTAAATCATTAATGAGAAACATAAGAAATTTTGGGACCCAATGGAGAAACTTTATAGGTTTGGGATGTAATTGATAATAGTTATATAGGTTTAGGATTAAATTGACCTTTCCCCCTTCTTGTGTTTGTATCAGGAAGGAGGGCTGGGCTTCATCTCTTCATTTGATGGTTGGATTGATCTTAAGTCGCTTTGACAGCTTAGAGCTTGCACTGACATTTACCAAAACCAGTTTTGCTCATATTTAGTTAATGGGCTTCGGCCCATATCAATTAACTGATGGATATTAATGTTAAGAAATGAAAAAGAAAATGTAAAAGACAGGAATTACTCTGCTTCACCTCGCTTGTACACCGTCTGAGTACAACCTGGAGGAAAAAAATAAAATAAAATTTCAAAGATCTCTCTCTCATAAACCCTAGCAAGAACCCAGTAACAATGGCTGAAGCAGAGAAAGGATCAGCTACGACAGGGTCCAAGGAAGGTAATGGTAAGGAGGAGATATCATTGAAAGACAAAGGCAATGAATACTATAAAGCTGGGAACTATCTCAAAGCTGCTGCTCTATACACTCAGGCCATTAAGCTTGACCCTTCAAATCCCACTCTCTATAGGTAAAAAAAAGTGACCGCAAATCAGTGTTTGTTGGTTTGGTTAATCATTGAATGTTTATCAAAATGCAATCGTGATTTATTTTGAGTGAAATTTGATTCCTTTTTTAAGTTGGGTGTTTCATTAATTTTTTTTATTGGTTTTGATTGGTTTGTGATTCTTGTGGTTTAACTTTCACATGGAATTCAAGTTTGATACTTTTCCATTTTTGAGAACCAGTTGGAGTAAGTTCTCTTGAATTTTTTGCTTGCCTTCATTCATCATATTAATGGTGATCATATGCGATGCAGTAGAGTATCGTATTGCTGCGCTTGTAATTCTGTATGCATTTTTATAATTTTTGAAGATAGGGGCTTTATACTGGGGTTAGAAATGTTTAATTGTGCAGTATTGGAGATGCACTTTTGTGTTTTCTGCCCATCCCTAACATTTTGCATTATGTATAGCGAATTGGTTTTGCAGAACTAGTATGGTGAGGGAACAGACCTTGGTACTTTCCAACTAATTTCTTTAGCCCTGCTTTATCGTGTTAAGATTGGGTGGATGCAATGGAATAGTCCCTCGTCTTGCTTAATGGCACTGCTATTCCCACTAACAGTTGTGATGCAGTTTATGAATGCTATGTCGGAATCATAGAGCACATTTGTTCTTGCTAAAGTTAGAATCCATATGGTTTTCTTGAGACTGTTATTGTACTTCATTCGTTTCCTTTATACTCATGCAGCGTCCATAATATTCTATAAAAGCTTTAGTTTTTATGTTTGATGCAATTTTGAATCTAGATAGTCTCTCAATCCTGTTATGATAATTGATTGGCTTTCTTTATGTTTATCCATCAACTGCAACTGTCCATTAGATTTTAGTTGTTATTCTCAATGATCTTTCAAACACTGAAATTCCCAAGTGGAAGATTTTTCATGGGACTTGGTATGGCGAGTTGCAATAATCATCTATTTTCTAAGTTTGTTTGGTCATCTACAGTTAGATTTTTTTTTCAATGAATCAATTTTTGAACATTGGTTCACCTTCTATGGTGCGTTGATGAAAATTTTTGCAACTAATGTATGTTGAACTTAAACATCCTCTGCTCTATGATTCTATCATTGGACAGCAACCGTGCTGCAGCATTTTTACAATTGGTGAAGCTTAATAAAGCACTTGCTGATGCCGAGACAACTATCACATTGAACCCGCAATGGGAAAAGGTGCACAGACATGAATGATCAAATTTCGTTTGGTTTACTTGATTTCCTAAGATTTTTGTTTGACGGTGACTTTTTGTTGCAATTCCAGGGTTATTTCAGGAAAGGGTGTATATTAGAGGCCATGGAACGGTACGATGATGTATGTCTGAACTCTGAAGGATCATGTTCACTTGTCATGTTGTTAGATAGCTTTTTAGACAAGGTTGCATGATTTTTTATTTGCTGCTGATGCGTTTTTACTGCTCATGTGTATGTAGGCATTGGCTACTTTCCAAATAGCTTTACAATACAATCCACAAAGCACTGAAGTATCCAGAAAGATTAAGAGAATATCCCAGTTGGCCAGAGACAAAAAACGAGCTCAGGAGGTGGAGAGCATGAGATCCAATGTTGATATGGCAAAGCACTTGGAAACATTGAAATCTGAAATGGTCAGTGTAGTTTAGCAAGCAAAGAGTCACAATGTCTTTTCACCTTATATTTGAAAAACGTATGTGGGAGTGAGATGCATTTTGGAAGTTTTCATTTCCATTCACCTTGCTTTTTAGTGGAAGATTGAATCTGGATGATCTCATTAGTCATCTTTTTTTCTCATTCATGTAGAAGATTAATTACCTAAGCTTTGATGTGCATGTGAGAAGTACTTGAAAATATTTCTTATCACTATCTGTTAAAAAAAAATAATTTAGCCTTTCTTTTTTAGTCTGAAAAGCTTGGAACTGAAGAATGTCAAGAAATGTTCTCCTTTCTTGTTGAGACCATGGAGACAGCTGTAAAATCATGGCATGAAGCCTCTAAAGTGGATCCTAGAGTCTACTTTCTTCTTGACAAGGAAAAGACGCAAACTGATAAATACGCTCCTGCTGTCAATATTGATAAGGTATTCGCTTTAAAACTGTATTATCTTCTTTGACACATCATTGCTCCGATGTATGGTATATGAACCTGTAAGAAGAGGATATAGAAGAATCAAATTCCTCATGATTTTAGCAATCATCTTTATCTTGTTTCTTTTTGTAGGCTTTCGAATCACCCCATACACACAGCAATTGTTTCTCATTTCTTAGGCAGTATGCGGAGGATTCTCTCTCCAAGGCAGCTTGTTTAGTGGTGCCAAAAAATATCATATCTTATCCACAGGTAATGATTTGCTTCTTCACATGTGTAAGTTATATAGATTTTCCTAACAAGCAAGCCCTTCTTTTTCTTAAACTCCAGATACACGTTATAAGATGTGTTCACCTAGGCATTTCAGTGAATACATGATTATGTTAAATATCCACAGATTAGTTGCCAAAAAGATTGCTGGAAGTCTTGTTGCTGTGATGGGTTCAACTTTTCCCTGAACTTTGAATATATCTTCAGATTCTTCAATTGCTAAACTATTGTGTAGTGCTGTGTTCTGGTTTTGGACTTGTGAGCTAGCAGTCTCCAATATATTGTAGTTGGGAAATTGATAAGAATGATCACTTGCACAGTATCTATGTTGGGATTTTGGATGACATAAACTTGCTGGGAACTTGGATTATTTGGGTTTCCGTGCTTTTGTTTTTTTCCCCCTTCCTTTTTTAAGTAGTGTATTGGGTGCTAGATTACTTTCTCATTTACTTGCCTTTATTGGTCCTATAGTTCTCTTTTTAAGAGATCCCTGTTTTCATCAAAGCAGCTTATTCTGTCGCAGCTGAATCAGTGTTGATGAACTGGGCTAGTAAGGTGTTGTGTGCAGCTTGCTTGAATCTAACTTTTGATGGTAAAATTGAAGAACCCAAGTGTTGATGTAGCTTGTAGGCTGCTAATCAATGCGCAACTTGTATTTCTAATTTTAACAGGTCTATATTAGATGTACTACAAATGATTCAATGGCCTTATGGCTTTAAGCCGACAGATCTGACTTGCTTATATTCAATTTATATATAATTAATAAACCTTCCAAACCGAAGACTGTTGATATCACTTTTGTTTAGGTTTTACTAGTCCTAGCTGATTTGCCTATTCTATGGTCTACTCAACAATAATGTCTTATTCATTGCATGCCATTTTTGCAGGTTTGGAAAGGTCAAGGATCAAGAAAGTGGAGGCATGGGCAGCATGATGGCTTTTTTGTTCAATATGAGTCACCTTTCATGCGAAAAATATGGTTTATTGCTAGCACCAATGAAAAGGGGCAAACACTGTGCAGGTTTCTCTCTTCACCTCACCACTTTTTTCATATATACTCTTTAATTTTGCTATGGAAGTTTTTATTTGAGTAGATATAGATCCTTCTTTTGATGGCTTAATCATGTATAGATGATATAACATTTCAACTCTGGTTCATATGCATGTTTCATGATTATCATTGAATATATAGTCATATACTCTTTCTCCAATGACTTGCACCAACACAATCTTCTAGCTTTTTATTGTACACCCCATGATTGTAGTCAATCATCTGGACAGATGGACCTCCCACATGCTATGTGCTTTATCCATAAATATGTGATATTTGAAAATTCCAGTTCTTAGCTACACAAACATGCTGAATTACGATATTTGTGGATAGGAAGAAGGAAACTGAGAAGTAGATGAACTTGTGCTATGACAGTGTTCTCTAGCAGATTGATATGTTATTGTTTCAACGCAATCATTCTTCATGAGATGGATGCTAGCTTTGAATTCTAGTTTTTCAGGACCATGATAGATATAAAAAAACTGGACATGAATTCAAGCAATAAATCATCTCCATTTTGGGGCCACCATTTGAATGGAGATGATTTGTTCCGTGCCCTCTATTTTGTTGAAAATGAAATTTCCCTCTTTTTTTTTTTTAACCTGAGTTCATATTCAGATAAAAAAGAAAACACGTGCAATATTCTTAGTCATCTGTTATCATCTCAATGCTTAATTCATGCCAAAGTACTTTTTTCGAAATGATCATCTCATGAGACAATAGCGATGCTTCTTTTTCGTGATACATGCCCACTTCTGCATACCTTTTCTTGCCAGGGAACCAGAGCTTCTAGATATCAGTGCTCATGAAGTGCTTCCTCGCCTATTCAAATAAAAGCTGCCCAATCCCCAATTCCTTTGTATTTTCTTTGTTATCTACTGGAGGATAATACAATGCACTCTTCAATCGGAAGTTTACATGTGAAATGAGAACAGACAGCGACAAGCCTTTCTGGCTTGTTTTGATGCAGCGTTGAAGTTCCTGGTTAGACTGATGTACACATGCGAGAAGGTGATTTTTCTTAGCTATATCATGCATTTGTTCGCTTTTGAACTCTTACTGGTATCATGTGAGCTTCTTTTGAGTATTGCATTTTAGATGCTCTTTCTTGTATTGTTTTTTCTTCTTGCATTGCTCATAAACTGAGCGAGTTATTCCCCATCGTGGGTATAAAATGGTAATGTTGATGTCTTGTAAATTTGCTTATTTTCTTGTAATCCGTGCATATCTATGGATGACATAGGCACCATTTCTCAGTCCTGATTTCTGAGCTATTTTATCTATCTTTTGCTTAGCAAATGATGCAAGTTGTGCCTTTATTGCTGTGATTGTTTAATATTAATTTTTTCTTTATTGTTCAAGTTTGGAGTATTTTATTTCTTTGTTCTTCTATCCTTTTGCTCAAATGATGGATTCAAATCTCTTTGCTTTCAAGATTATATTAGCTCATGTGTCATAACTCGTTAGCACCAATAAATGAATGTCTTAGTGGTAATACTAAAATCTATCAAGTGAAAATCTAAATGTAGCAAAATATTCTACCGTCAACATTTGTGTGTCGTCCCTGTCTTGATAGTTTGTTATACTACCGCAAAGCCAATGGTGAGTGCGGCCTAAACAAATTATTCTCTAGAATATTGAACTGTAAAGTGATTATTATTCTTAGGATAATGAAATTTAAAAATCACCTTGCTCTTGGAAGCTATGTTTATCATCAATCTATGTATGTCTGGAAAGGCTGTGCGGTGGTTCATTGGTTTGCATAAATCCTTTTTATTAGATTATGGTGGATCCAAGTTTCAATCGTTGGAGGTTTCAATGATCAAGATGATTGAAGTCAAGTAGGTCTAGATAAGGGCCAGTTCACATTGCACATAACTTGCGAAACAGCAGGGAGCTCTTATCTATTCCTCACTCTCTAAGCACTGTTCCTTTTAGCGCTATGGATATCAGTCCCTTCCACATTTTGTCCAAAACTATGCTACTTCGGTAGAACTTCCTACCAAAATTTGTCATGATTTCATTGTTGATGCATCAGCAGGGGAGGCCCACGCCAGTGCTTTTAAACGTTGATTCTAGTTTGAAACATCAAATGCGAATGGAATAAAAAGACCATCAAAATATGAACCAACCTTTAATAATTTCTAGAAAGAAGTACATGAGATCATATTTTCTGTATAGAGATGCACAATGTCTTTAGACATTTCGTAAGCACAACAAAATCATCTGGTTTTTCCACTTTTGGATCAATCAGATTGGGTGGGTTTCTTCTTCAACGGTGAACCATCACACCACAGTTGGGATTGGACCCAATAAGCACACTACATACCAGCCATTTCTTCCCCATTTGCTTCATACATTATCGTGTGCGTCAAACTCAACTGTGACAGGATTATTTGATTTGCTTGTATGTAGAATAAAATTGCATGCGGCTACAGCCTCTCCTACTGTAAGATAGATCCATTCCTGACCAATGCTTTCGATGAACTTCGACTTCTCTAGCTTCTTAATCACCTCGCTTCTGGGGTTCGTCAGTACGAGCTAGATCAACAGCAAAATAATAATTTCTTTAACAACCCAGGACTGGTTGAACAGAAGTAAGCTTCTCGAACATGGAAATATTGAAAACTATTTAAGTGTACCTTGAGACCTCTTCTATCAATGTTTTTCTTTACTTCTTCAAGCATACTGATCCCACTTGTATCTATGCTGCCAACAGCTGTGGATTGAATGTATGGAAAATTAGGGTCAAACTAAGCTAAAATGTGCAAAAGATAAGTCTGATGGCTAGGCAGATTGTGATTAGTTAAGACACTTACCACTCAGATCTAGTATCACATACTGTAAGCTTGATCCTCCTGTGGATTTTAGCTTTTCTTCCTCCTCATAGATCCATCTTGAGATCCTGAACAATAAAATTGAAGCAGCAAAGAAGATTTGAGCGTAGATGCACATTGTTTAACATTTTATTGTTTAACATCTAAATTCATTATGTCGCATACCTTTCTCTTAAGTAGTTTGCGTTGGCAAAGTAAGCCGGTGCATCGATCTGGAGAACGAGAACTCCTGGAACATTGTTTGCAGTTGGGTACTGGTCCATGCTTCTGAAAATCATGGAGTTGGGAATGTTGCCTAAAAGAAAAGTCCTCGGCCTTGCTACAGACATGAGCATCCTTAGCAAAGAAATTGCGACCTGCGTAGGCAAATGTTGGTCATATCAGGAACATTCTAACCTAACACTTGCTTTTTGGGAATAATAGTGGCTGGTCTAAATGACTTACGGCAATGACCAAGCCAATTTCCACACTGCCAAAGACAACACCAATATATGCACTCATGCAAACAATGAAGTCACACTTGTCAACTTTCCAGAGGCCAATTGCAGCTTCGTAATCTATTAGGCCAAGCATTGCAGCAATGATAATGGAGGAGAGAACCACAATGGGGGTGTAATGGAACAAAGGTGTTAGAAATAGCAACGTGATCATCACAGCGGTTGCCATGACTATGTTCGAGACTGCAGTTTTGCATCCTGCATTGAAATTTACCGCAGTTCGCGAAAATGGTCCTGCAATCCAAATCACAATAATTTGTTTGTAAGAGGAGTACGTTCATGGCCTAAAATCAAGTCAAGCAACTTTTGGACCTAACCAATCTCCGTTATAAGGATGGCAATTTCCCATGTCCCATCCTGGTCAACGTGAGGATTTCCCGAGTTGATTGGGTAACGGGATAGGGCGTCCCATACTATATTTATTTTGAATGAGGATGGATGGAGATGTTATTTGCCTGTCCCGTCCCATTTACCTCGCTTCATCCTTAAAATTACAATTATATCTTATATAAAATCTATGACTACTGATTTTTAGGATTTATTTTCTATATGAATTATCATTTTTTTGCTATAGTTTAAAATTTTGTAATAGAATGATACGAGACGAGGCGGAAACAAAAAACTAAACGGGACATTGGTGTCTCGTGGGGATCCCCGTCCTAGTTTGGGACGGGGATGGTATGAGAAATATTATTCCGTGCAGGGCATGGGAAGGAGATGGGGCAAAATTTTCAAAGGCGGGGTGGAGGCGAGGACCGCCATTCATAGTCTCCAATGGATCCTTGATTCAATTCAGTTGGGTTGGGCCTTAGCCCATTATATAACATAGAATTAGTACCTGTGGTCAAATAGCAAGAGGTGCAAGAGCCTGCAATATTCATCATCCCAAAAGCGATCATCTCTTTGTTGCCATCAATATGATAATTCTTGAACATGGCAAAGCTCCTCCCTACAGCTACTCCTTCCTGTAAATCCATCAACCCAGCCTTTTTGTTAATTATATTTTACTTTTGTTCTTTTGGGCCTCGGGCCCAGTTTATTGCCCAAATATATAAATAAATACCATTGAGCCTTCCTGTTTTAAAACAACAAGATTTAGAATTTCACTCCCGCCGTCTTCCCTATCAAAGTTCTAACATCTTTCATGATTTTGTTTTATTAATTAATTACAAAGGAAATTTCCTCAATTTTGTTTCATTAATTAGAAAGGAAATTTCCTCAATTTTGTTAGCAATTGAAGAAGACATCATACATAAGTCAAGCTAAATCCAATTGTTTATGGTTTTATTTTATCCTTTAATTTGTTTTCATACACACACACACACCATAAGCTAGCACATGCATAAAAAGTGCATTTAAATTATTCGCTATTGTCTGAGTATATTCTTTTTTGTCTTACATACTTGTCGTATGAAAGCTGTGTAGATCATTTACTCTCTCCTTCTTTTGCTCGTTTATAGAGCATTGAGAAATTCCTTAAAATCGACAAGTGATCACACACACATAGATATATATATATATATAGACTAAGGCCAATTTGTGTACTGATCATGTCGTTGCCAGAGCTGGTGATTAAATGGGGAGCATGTGACGTAGATGTGTGTGATGTATATATGTGAGTGAGGATCGATGGAGAGAGTAGTACTTGTACTTACAGCAAGAGCTATGACACCAGTTATGATTCCAGTTTTAATGGCTGTCATAAGATATGGAGACCCAAAAGCCAACTCCGATACAGATAGTGGATTCAAGCCCTTCTTCAGGTGCCCAATCTGGACAAACCAAACAAATGCAACTTATATACATGGATATCAGCAATTCAGAGCTCTGTACTAATAATAAGACACTATTGCTCTTGTACAAAAAGACTTGGTAAATGTGTAAATAATTTATTTATTTATTTATCCTTTTTCCCCTAGATGCTCGAACCCAAGTCATAGACAATTCAAGTGGAATGACTATCTTTTCCTAATATATTTGAAAAAACATATAAATTAATTGAAACCACCTTTTGGAATGGTTATATATATATACACGCGCGCGCGCGTAGTTATATTCTTTAGAATAGATTATTAATTTCATATCATTAGTACTTTTTTAAAGAGATTAAAATTATATATATATATTTTTTATATAGCAAAATCATGACTTTATTTAATGACGATAATGGACTCTCGTCCTTTTACCGAGTGGGTAAGATCTTGACCATCACACCCGTAATTGACAATCCAAAAGAATGCTATGCTTTTTGGTGGGATAGTAATTATTGGAAGTCCTAGGGTTTGTAAGTTGTAACTACCGTCCGTTAAGATTTTATCTCTCTCAAATATATATATATATATATATATATAAAAGAGCGGCTATTTCTCAAATTTTATAATGAATAAACGACGCTTTTTTTCTCTCTTTTTTTTTCCTGTGGATAATTTAGGACATCAAAATTTAAAATGTGCATAACATTTATTTCTATGAGTTGATGAGACAAAAGGAGAGAACTCAC